AATATATATTTAAGTGTATAGCAATATAAACATAATTAAATTGCCAATACATTGCTTATTAATTATAATAGAAAAGATTATTACAACTAAACGTATTAGAATAATTATACAAGTGTAAAAAATAAGTGATGTATTAAATTTATTCAGTATAACAAAAGATAATAGATTTATATTATAAAAAATTTGATCAATTTTTTTAACAGGTACCACCAGACAGCATTGAACGCGCCGCCGGACTTTTATTCTTCGATAAAATTTCACGAAATAAATTAAACAAAGTGAATGGCAAGAACATAAGCTGAATTTGACGACTGCTCCATTCCCTTTTCTTATTCAGATTGTAAAGAGTTTTATTTTCTGACACATCACACATATGTATATTTAAATCTAGTCCATTATTTTTTAATTTATTGTACATAATTTTAAAAGTTTTATATTATCATGTATACTATATATTGTTTTAGTTGCTTTATATTTTATTTTATCGAATAAAGATATTTGTTGATGCGTCAATTCGTTTGTTTACATATGCGTTTATTGATTTTGTACATTTAGTCGTCCGCTTGGAATCGCTATATTTAATTGTGTAACGCAATGTACTGTATATTTTCGACTCGTTTATACCGAATAAAACGCGCTCAAGTCTACCGTATTTATTCTCTCGACTTTTATGTCGAAGATTTAGATATACTATATTTACTGTGAAATAAAAATTATGCGTATAAATAATTTTACATGATAGCGTTTTAAAATGAATAGAAACGGAATAGTTATTTGAACTATACATATTCAGACAATTTATACATATTTGGACAAAATAACAAAATTGAATAAAAAGGATGTAATTAATACAAATTTAGTTTTGTTGAATATATAAATATGGAATGTATATATACATGTATTCGGTATATACATCTGGATTTTCTTTATTTTTCTTATTTCAAACGCTGGGAACTCAGTCTTGAACACAAATGCTTTATAAGTGAAGAATTAAACGCTTATAAAATCGCAAGATAAAATCTTATAAGATATCGCCTCGTCGCTACTTTGGTCGTGGTAGTATAAGTACGTATCGATTAATACGTTTGTTATCATTAAATATCTAATAGTCATATAAAATCCTAAATGTGATAAAGTCGTTAATAATCTTTTTATCTTACGAGCTATATCTATGTACAAAATTAACAGACGCGGTGATAATGCGAGTTTTTCCGTGCGCGTGAAGAATTTTTCTTTTTTATGTTCACATCGGAAATACTACACTATCCATGTTTCTTTATAATAATAAGTCAGAATATATGTCGCTGCTCGACGATATTTAAGACTAATTCTTGCAAAAACAGGCAAATTAAAAGAGACCTTTATTGCAATTTAATTAATACATATAAGTAATGTAATTAAAATTGTATTGAATAAATAAAAAATGTGTTAAAAGCAAATTAAAATAAATGAACAGTTTAATAGAAGCAAAAAATATAAAATGACACTAAAAATAAGATAAGAATTAAAAAGAATTAATAAAAATTTTTTAAATCAAATAGATAAAATAAAGAAAAAATATAATTAAAATTAAATTTTAAATAGAGGAAATTATTACAAATTTAATAAAAATTTAATTAGAGGAAAATAAATATAATTAGCAGAATAGAGATACAAGAATCAGTTAAGAGAAAAGTTTGAATTCGTAGAATAAATGTCTACGTAAAATTTCCCCCTTAATTTACCTTTTTTTGCGAGCGTAAGAACATTATGCATTATTCTCGAGATCTAGCATGTATTTTTAAATCGTATGCCTTTTTGGAATATTGTTCTGCTTGTTTCCTCTTTATTCTCATTCATCAATATTGCATGCACATCGTGACTTATAAATAATATCTCTTTAAGTAAAGTATACATTAGGCACTAAAATGGACGGGTCTGTTTGCTCGGATTCGCCTCCTTCGAGTATTGCTTTACGTCTTAAGGACACTTCTGAGAGCTTTAAGTACACTTTATTATAATCTATGTGATATTTATTTTACGCGTGTTATTTACAGGATGTCTTAGAGAAAGAGAGAGAGAGAGAGAGAGAGAGAGAGAGAGAGAGAGAGAGGAAGAGATATAGTTTTTTATTATGTAATATTTTATTATTATTATTAAATAAAATTTTTATCTGAGTATTATTTGATACTCGAATATATCTCTCGTAAGTCTTAGAATTCTTAAATTCAGAATTTTTGAATCTCCTATATAGATTCTTAACATTCAGAATCTGAATCTTGTCGAATCTTTAGAATCATTAAATTCTAAATCCTCGAATTCTCGAATTTTAAAACATCGTCATTGGTCCCTTGGATTTAAATAAAAGAATTACAATCTTTTTAAATTTGTACATGCAATTAATATACTCTTTCTCTGAGACACTCCATATTATATTCTCAGAAAGCTCGAAACAAAACGTTGACTTTGAAGTTCTAACGCAATGCCAAGTTTTTAAATCTATTTGATCGATAATTATCCTCTATTGGCAAACATGCCGTCGAAAATTGTATCGTTGTAAAAATGTTTTTATTTTATTAATCCTAGAATCATTGTCTACGTGATTCTTCACAAACATTGAATTAAAAGAATTTTACGGAAATTTTTAAATCGAATTCCAAAAGATCTAAAATTTAATTTATTATGTAATAAATTTTCCTTTCCGTCTATTTTTTTGTAACGATGAAACAGCGAGGACTAGAAGACGCGATGATCGTTTCACGTCAACGACTTGGCTGTTCATTGAGCCATTTGCATTCAGTCGAAAATCTTCGCTATGGTGAATCACATTTTCGGAAGATTAGGCTATACAAATGGCTCGATATATGGAAAGATTTACATTTGCAAATTCGCAGGTAAGTAAAATTATATAAGAGCAAAAAATTTATAATTTAATAATTTCAATTTTAGAAAAAAAGTAAAAGAAATGATATTATTTTATTCTTATTAATTTTCTTTCGCATAATACGAAATCTGCTCATTTAAAAAGCAGTTTCCATATATCGAAATTCACTCGCATTACCTAATTACGGTTTATCTTCTTCCGATTGTCACGATTAAATCAATCTCTCCTCTGGTGGAGGCTTCATTACATTATCCATCTCCACTCTTGGATTGCTGAACTCCTGAGCACTTGGACTGTATGTGCCACGTGTTGCACGTTTTTTCCTAGCCATCATAAAAAGCGCTATAAGAGATACGATGGCAATTAGGAGGAGACAGCCCACGATCGGGCCTACGATTACCACTATGTCGAGAGCTTGGCCGCTTAAATAATTATATTCCAGCTGAAAAATATAAATTATGTATATATTTGTTATCGATATATGTACATAAAAATAAACAATTTATATAAATAAACTTTGTTGTGTACATTATGTATATATGTATATACACACACATATTATATATATATATATATATACATACATATGAATATATATATACATATTATATATAGAATCACAGAATTATTTCAAGCTAGTATTTATATTTTAGTACTACTATTGGTCTTGTTTATCAGGTATTAGAAACGACCCAGCTCCCTCCTTATTCTCCTAATATAAAGATTTGCCGAGCTTTTTTGATAGCTACCATATATT